TAATAAATAAAATACAGAACCAGGAAATGATAATTTATGGTTTAGCCTAGTGACAAGTAGATTCAGAGACAAGTAAATTTGACTTAACTTGCCTCTCCTGGAGCCAATTATCGACGTAAGGCGAGGTATACCTGTGTATGTAATTAAAGGAGAAGGGGTTTGCCAAAAGTACATCATTGTACACAACAGGAAGAGAGGAGTCAAAATGGCTCAGAAATTGTACATATAATTAAGCACAATCATATAAAAAAAATGTAATAAAAGTACAGTAGAGCATCAATTATCCGACCCCCGATTAACCGTCACATCGGTTAACCGACTGTTCTAGTTGGCAAATTTCAAATGTCTGCTAGTGATGTGGCACTACAATATTTGGCTATGTCTTGGCTACTTTAATATTATTTTTGTTAAATTTTTGCGTGTTTTAGCTGGCATCAATNTTAACCGACTGTTCTAGTTGGCAAATTTCAAATGTCTGCTAGTGATGTGGCACTACAATATTTGGCTATGTCTTGGCTACTTTAATATTATTTTTGTTAAATTTTTGCGTGTTTTAGCTGGCATCAATGGTTCGACCATTGAAGGGAGGGAAGTATTTAAACGAGACATAATTTTCTAATTATGAGTGGTTGTTTGTTTGTGAGCAATAAAATAATTTTAAAATAATTTTTAACGATACAATAGTGACGATTATTATTTTAAAAAAAAATTTGTTAGGTTTAACATCGATGAAAATTCAATGTGAAATTGGTTAATAGCAATATACTAATATACTAATTACATGGGATATACTAATATACTATACTAATAATGTATTTTTTTCGGTTTTCCGATTTTTCAGTTATCCGATCAACCTGAGTCCCCAATTGAGTCGGATAATCGATGCTCTACTGTAATTAAAATTGCATAATTTTGTATTATCATTTAGAATTATTCCATTTTTAATTTTTTGAAAATGAATTTATTAAATAAATTTTATTATTTTGAAAGGAAAAAGTCTGTCTGTAATTTTTGAATATATACAGTCGACCCCCCTATAACACGGTAGATATGTTCCGTTTCTTATGAATCAATTTCTTACGAGTCCTTGCCAATCACAGCCCGACACGTGTGAAGTTTACAGACTACAGCTGTTTGAAAGGTTTTCTTCCATAAAATTAATTGATTCTAGACTAATTTGACTCAACATTTCCAAAATACATATATTTTTTGGGAATAATCCGTATAAACTACACTATAAACAAAAAATTGTAGGATTACTTACCGAGTGTGCACCGTTTGACATCACCATTGCTCAAGCTTGTTTTCGTCGCGGAGCAACACACCAAACCGCGGCCGCAATTTCTGATAAGTTATTTTTCTGCGAAAAGTTCGTTGAACTTTGGAGACATTATTAATATAAATAATTTTTATGGCCGTTGAATAAGAAATGTTTCTTTCACAAGAAATGTATAAAAGTACAGTACTGTATTAGACTTATGGTACCTAATTTACATACTGTACAGACGATAGTAAACAACTTACTCGTCTAAAGTCTCCATAGCGTGGCGCTGGACGGCGGAAAGTATATATATAATTATAATAAAGTTACAATAAATTAAGTTAATATATAATTATATATACAGTACCTAATTTATATATAATTA